GTTGTGCGTAACTTTAGTTGATCTTCATGCACAGGTGTGTTAGACCCTAGAGGGGGGGTGATTAGGGTCTTATGCTAATCTAATCCGATTTAAATGCCAATTAAAATTAATTAATACGTTATCCTAGCAAGTATGAAATACAACAATATTTGTAAGCTAGGATAAGCAATGTAAACAATAAGATATATCCTATATGATGAAATATATATGCAAGGATATATAAACTAACACAAGGGTAAACAATATGAACTAGATAGTGGATGATATAGATAATGAGCTAATGACAATGGCGATATAAGATATGAACATAAATATGAATGAACGTCAAAGCACACTCAAACAAGCAATATGATCACGGAGTTCGGACCTTCCGTCCTACGTCTCCGCTCCCCACTCCCGGGGAGAAATCCACTAACACAATCCGGTTTGGAAGCCGGAACTTCTTCTACACACTCGGTTTTCTAGCTAACCAAAAACTCTACAACTCACACTCTTGCAATCACACTCTACACCCACTAAGTGTTGGACCTAGCCGTGTCTCCCTCAAGTGCTCGGTTACAACCTCTCCCTAGGCACGTCAACCGACGCCACTCCTCTTGGGACGATCCCCGACTCTCACCACACACTCCTCACTCGGTGTACAAGTGTATTACAAAGTGATTCTCACAATAAGCACAAATATGACAAATGATTGTTCTCAAAACAAGGTGAGAACTCAATTAAGCTCACTCTCAATGTCACAAACCCACAACCCTAAATTATACTATGAATGTAAATACAATAAGCTCAAAAGGTTGTGTGTGAACAAAGAGATATAAATCAAAACTAAACTCAATGTAGTTCTAGCTTAATAACAATGATAATCAAATATATAAAAAAGCTAGAAATAGAGTTTAGAAAACTTCTCAATATATCAAGAGTTGGAGGGAGAATAGTTGAATGCCCAAACACCAATAGATGATCTCCTCAAGCTCTTGTAGAATTGAATCACAAAAACAAACTCTCAATTTGCTTAAAAGCTTTTTAAACACACTTAAACCAAACTAAAACCCTTGTTAAAAACTTTATTAAACTTGATTAAAAACTCTCTTAGTTAACTTGAAAAGACATCAGCAATGGGGTATATATACCCACTAGAAATCTCAGCAAAAACCCAAACAAAATGACCAAAAGGCCCCCAGAAAAACCAGCTCAGAAATAGCCGTTGAAGTCTAACGGCTCTACTGTCGGTCGACCGAAAATTCCGTCGGTCGACCGATGAGAGCAAAAACACGAAGAAAACATTCTGGACCATCGTCGGTCGACCGGAAATTTCCAAAAAATGTAAAACTTTGGAGAATGATTGTAGACATGATAATAAACATGCTACAATGACTGGTTTTGAAAAAGGACTTCCCAAATAAAAAATATCATTATTTTGCAAATATGTTCAAAAACATGAAAACCTGAAAATTGATATTTTGATATTTTGACTTAAACAACATTTTGAAACTTTGTGAAATGATTGTATAGACTTGATAAAAGATATAACATGTTGTTATGAAGTCTATAACCTAGAAATACAATATTTTCATAAAATTGCATATTCTATGCAAATATATTCAAAACACTAATCACAAATACAATAGAAAATGAAACCTATGAGCATGTATATGAAAATATATTTGTTTCATATCTAAGTAGATAAACCAAATCACAATAATAAATATGAAACATGTAATTTCATATTTATAAACATGAAAGCTAAAACTTGTGTTGTATATATATGTGACTACATATATATACAAGGAAACCAATAAAATGTATGTGTATAGATAATTGAGCTTAGAGTACTTAACACACATAATATAAATCCTAAACTACATTACCCAAGCAATCTTGATCTTCAATTAAGCTTGACTTGGTACACGTTGCGGATGAAGCTTCCTTTGGATATGATCGTTGAAGCTCTATTCCATCCATCCTCCAACTACGTTGTTTGTCTACAATAAATACGAAAACACAAATACTAGACAAACAACATTAGTGGTAAATTATTTGTTAAACATCATAAAAACAAGAAGGCCAACAAGGTGATGAGGGTGGAGCCACACAGGAGGAGGTACTTGATGCGATAGCCTGCTGACGGCGGTTTGGTCTTCAAGTGGGAGATTGTTGGGTGTCGACCAAACCTGTCATGCGGCTCAGGCGAGGCCGATGACGAGGCCAGGCAAGCTCGTTGCGGTCGAGCTCTAGGGAGGGCGTTAGCTTCAGGCGAGGCCGATGACGAGGCCAGGCAAGCTCGTTGCGGTCGAGCTCTAGGGAGGGCGTTAGCTTCAGGCGAGGTCGTGGACACGCAGGCGAGCTTGAGGGGACCCTAACTCAGGCGAGCTCGAGCACGCAAAGTCCAGGCGGGGTCGAGTTGAGTAGGCGAGGGCAATTTGTAGGCGAGCTCGAGGTCGGGATCAGGGGAGGTCAAGCGGCTCCTTACTGGCGAGGTTGGGATCAATCGGGCTCGAACGCTGCAGGCGAGCTCGAGCTTAGATCCAGGCGAGCGGGGGTGAGACCCATGCAAGCGGGGCAGGAGGTACGGTCAGCGACAGCCTATCGCTGGCTGGCTCTAGGGTTCCCCTATAAAGGGAACCCAAACCCGAGATCCCTTTTTTCCTCTGTTCCCTCTCGTGTTCAGATCCAGCGGCGACGGTTCCTCTCTCTCGCTTTTCTTTCTTTCTCCAGTGCTCAAGTTTTTTCTTGGCAAAATAAATGGGAGAGAATTAAAGAGGGTTTATTTGAGAGAGAGGATTAACACTGTAGCTATAGTGTTGTTGGTATTGAGAGATATCAGTTTGAGATCTGCTCTAAGTTTTGTAATTTCTTGTTGATTAATAAGAAATTTACTATGTGGCTCCCGAGGACGTAGGCAGTTACCGAACCTCGTTAAATCTTAGTGTATTTTCTCTATACTGCATTTTCTGTTGTTTTAGGGGTTTAGCGTAGCGTCAGGTATTCCCCAGCAATTGTATCACTAAATTGCTAAGTATAAACTGCTCTTGAGAGAACAACATATGTATCAATTATCCAAATTGAGGGAACCTAAGCTCTCATAAATCCACTCTAACCCCCATAATCAAGTTTCTAACGTCAACAATTCTCTAGAATTAGTAAATAAATCAATAAATGAGGGCAAGGGTAACTTAAGTTTATCATGTGAGAGTCACTTGGGAATAATAGACAGAACTAACTTGACTAACGACAGTCAACTTACGGTATTTTTTAATACAAAATACAAGTTATGTATTTAAGTGTCAGAACAAGAAAATTATGTAGTATTTAAGTGATATTCAGCCATCTAATTTTGAACCTCTAAATTTTGTTCATTCTTTATAAAAAGAAAAAAAATTGTTCTTTACATTGAGAAATAGGTGCTCATCACTCCAACCGTTCATGATCCGAACCCTTTTTTCAACTAGATTGCACTCTTAATGTTTCTGTAAACCCTGACGCTTTAATCAGTTGGTTAATTCATAAAACATCTATAACTATACAAATGAAAAAGACCATCTAAATTCTCTTTTCCTTGAACACACATATTTACAATTGGTTCCATATATTCTTTACGAGCTTTGCTATAGGGACCCAAAATATGAGACTAATAGGGGGGACATGTGAGGTGTCTCCTTCCTATTGCATAATGAGTTGGCCATCAATGATGGTCAGCTCATTATGCAATAGGAGGGGGATACCTCACATGTCCCCCCCTGTTGGTCCCATATTTTTGGTCATTGTGATATTTTTCATTCTTTACCAATCAACAAAAAACATACCCTGAACTTATATTTTATTTTTACAAAAAAAAAAACACAGGCCATGAATTTGGTTCATTAAAAAAAAAAAACAAAGAAAGAAAAGAAAAGAAGAAGACACTTAAACATCACAAGGGGTTCATAAATCATAATTCTCAAGTATTCGTATCTGGTAAATGTGCTTCAATTAATAATTCCCCCCGAACTTGGGTTATAATTATGATGAGAACCAGAAGTATACTCGTTGCAGGTATCTAAATCGCAAGGAAATGGGTGGAATATATGTCCAACCTTTTGAACTGAAAAATGTAAATGAACCAAACATAAGCTAGTTGTCAATTGAAGATAGAAAAGAAAAGTATAGCGTAGGCAGTGAATCCGGACCGTATAGTTTTTTTTATTTTTTACCTTGCTATAAGGAGAGGTCTTTTTCATGGCATGGTCCCAAAAGAGTTATTTTACTGTTCCCATTGCTTTCTTACAACCCAAGGGATGTGGATTTCTCCACTGTCACACACAAAACCCATGTCCCCACTATATTCTATTTGGAGACCAAAGTCCCCACAAATATCTCCAATGCACACAGCAAACGTGCTGCCCTCCTCTATTTTTTCACACGCTTTTACTTTAGAGGGGTTTTTTTTTTGTTATCATCTTTGTTAATTCAATTACATCCTCAAACCTTTACATTTCTACCTAGGGCGCGCTTGTTTCGCGAAGAAACCCCCGAAAGCATATAGAGACTCTCTGACACAACTCAACGGTTGAAGCTTTCCTATTCTCGTGTTTACTTCACAAAGAATTATGGCTCGTTTGTTTGCAAAAATTGGAGGGGGAAAGCAGGGGAAAGCCTGCAAAAGTTTTGAAAAAGTCAAAACTTTTGCAGGCTTTCTTCTGCTTTCCCCCTCTATTTTTTGCATCCAAACGGGCCCTTATAGGAAAACTCATTTTATAATTATGAATAGCGTCAATTTTTTGTTTTGGGAAGCCGTGGTAACGCGTATTTTGCATCGGATTTCTTTTCCTGTGTTTTAAGGAATTGAAACAAACTTGCCCTCAACAAAACCTCTACTTTAAATGCCAAGATTTAGGGGTACAGTGTAGAATTAACAAAGATTCGGGGTCTAACGTGAGAAAACCTCTACTTTAAACTTCGGGAGGTAAAATAACTTTTTAAGTGCCTATAAAGAGGTCGAGAGCTGGCACGGAGAAGGAGGCAAGGTTCTATTGGAAGCTTCCTTCAATCAAGCGAAAAATAGTAATAATAATTGAGTAGGATCCCTTATAAATTCCCTCCTCTTCTAGTCTGTTTTAGTTCAAAAAGCCAATAGTTCCGCTCTTTTTTCTCATCCTCAACTTCGCAGCCTTTTTTGCTCTCCCTTAGAGGAGTTGAAGAAGGGAATCAGCCATGGGGGTGGGAGGAACTCTAGAGTACATATCAGATTTGTTTGGTGGCGGTGGCGGCCACGGTCACCACCACAAGAAGAAGAAGAAGCAGTTTCAGACTGTGGAGCTCAAGGTGAGGATGGATTGTGATGGGTGTGAGCTCAAGGTCAAGAAAGTTCTCTCCTCCATGAAAGGTTTGTTCCCAATCCATCACTCTGTTTTATCTCTTGAATCCCAAATTCATACACACTAATGCCGGAAAGCTCGTACGAGTTACATGCACGTTTGATGATGAGACATGAACCTGAATTGCTCTGATATCATCTTAAAAGTCCCTTCTTCTGCTGTGGCCAAAACTCTGAACAACATATATCATCTTTGAACTATGTAGGGGTGAAATCAGTGGAGATAAACAGGAAACAGCAGAAGGTGACGGTATCAGGGTACGTAGAGCCGAGCAAGGTGCTGAAGAAGGCCAAGTCAACAGGGAAGAAGGCTGAGATTTGGCCTTATGTGCCCTACAACTTAGTGAGCCAGCCCTACACAGCTCAAGCTTACGACAAAAAGGCACCCCCTGGTTATGTGAGAAATGTCGAGAATGTAACCACATCCTCGGTCTCCAGCTACGGAGGAGGAGGCCAAAGGCAAGAAGACCAGATCACCAACATGTTCAGTGATGAAAACCCTAACTCTTGTTCTGTTATGTGAGAGACAAAAATACCCAATTGTTTTTAGCTCTTCTTCAGGGTTGTTTGTGAGAGGTTGTTGCTCCTTTTGTTCAATTTGTGTTTTGAGATCAGAAGAGAGAACCAAAATAGATGAGTGGCTTCTTTGTAAGTTTGTTAATTGTTTTAATCAGAAGATGCAATGTGTTGATCTAAGGAGGGCTAGGATGGTTTTCTGGCCTTTTGTCTTGTCACTAGGCAGAAATAATTGATAATCAGGTAAAGCTTGACAGCTGCATTTATCGCTAATATCTAATCATGGTGTGTAGCTTCCTTCTCCTATTTGTATATTTCAGTTGTAAATATTTAAGATCTCATTATTGATGATGCTTAATAATGTAATAGTGGATAAGTATTACTATAGTCATTTTCATAGTAGAATATTCAATATGATCAAGAGCCTATCCTGAAAATGATGCAAGCAGCTAACGAAGTTAAGGGACAGCAATATATAATATATTCTGCAAGTCTTGTTGTATTTAGGTGTACGAGACAGCAGCCTTCAACTCTGGTTTGGTTTCTGAATTATTATACTAACAAATTGTTCACATGGCTGGGTATCTATGGAAATATTATGAATGACTTGTTCACATGGCTGGGTATCTATGGAAATATTATGAATGAATGACTTATATAGGAGCCTGTAGCTTTCGGATTCAACTGTTTAGTTGCTATTATAATGTTACGCTTACCTAATATCAGCAGCAATTCAAGTAACTAAGATATGTGATGTCCAACTCACACTCAACCAAGTAAATATTTAATCCAGAATGGATCTTTGTATGAGGTAATAAGAACCCTATAGTTCATCAGAAAATAATAGGTTCAGTTTATAATTGGTACAAACAGCCATTTTAGATATTTAGCAACTCTAAGCTGTCCACAAGGATGGATGCATGCAACTAGAGATGTGGTTTAACTTGAACACTTCAAAGGAAACATAGGAGCTGATGGCACTAATCTTTAACGCAAATGAGATTAATTTTGCTTGGACTGTTGGTATGATAATTAGAACCCTGAGTTTAATTTTTTTGCTTTCCTTGATGAAAATCATGAAATCGACCTTACACTGCAAGGATTTTATTCATTGATGGTGAGTGGAACTTTTCTGAACTCACCCGTACCTTGGGGTTGGAACTCACCCAAATTCTGAACGGCGCTGCCCTCCCCTCCCCTCCTTGCAGAGAATGATGACAAGAGGCATTGCAGACCTAACTCTGCTTGGAATCTTATCAGAGACCGCAATCAACCCCAAACTGTATTGAGGGCTCCTTGGAGTGCTGTCATGCCTACCTCCTCCAAGCTTGTTTGCTGGAGACTTAGACATAGCATCCTTCTTGTTGACTCTTCTGTCAAGAAATTAAAGAGGTTTTTCTTTAACTTCCAAATGTGTTTGTTGCACCAACCACCAAGAGGAATCAGTACGTCACCTGTTCGTTGAAAGTGAGCTGGCTCAGTCCCTTTGGAGATACTTCAGTATGAATTTTGCTGCTCCATATTGGCCACAACAACCAATCCAAACTAGACTTAGATGGCGGTTCTGCAGGTAAATCTCGCTTCTCTACTCTTGGCAGACTTGCCTGCATTGGCATATGCGGTCAAATTTGGAGCTACATGAATAATGCTATATATGGCGGTATCAATAAGAACTTCCTACCTTCTCGAATTGTGGTCATTGATGCCTTGCAGCTTGTGGACACTTTGATCAAACCAGTGACGATGCCTCCTATTTATGGTGTAGATTCTCTCAAGATGATTGGTATCGTTCCCAGGAATCCTGTGCACAAACCAAAATTCACCTATGGCTAGGAAGCCCCACCGGTTGGCTCATATGCTCTAAACGTCTATGGATCTTGTCCTGGGAATAACCTAGCCATTGGCGGCATTAATATTAGGAACCATAATGGTGAATTCTTGGCTGCGTTCTCAGGCCCTGCTGGGAGTGGTACTTCTCTTCACGCTGAGATACATGCACTAGCTACAGGAGCTGAACTGATCTCTGAAATTGGTCTTAATTCCACCAATGCATGGTCTGACTCTAAAACACTCGTTAATTCCATTGGTAAAACCTCTCCCTTTTGATAGCTTGAGCTGGTTTTGGCGTGGGATGCGTCGCTTCCTTCATACATTCAACATATCTGTTAATCACTATTATCGCGAAGGAAACTCAGTGGCTGAACAACTCTCTAAACTAGGCCATACTCTTCAGCAGCTCCACTTTTTCTATAGTTTCAATGAGCTCAGCAACTGATCAAGTCTGATGCTCAAGGATATAAGCATAGTAGAGAAGTCAATTTTGGGTGAGGCTAGACCTGTTGGCGCCCCCTTCCTCTAAATATTTTTTTTTCTCATTTCATGTATTATGTCTTGCCCTGGTAACTGTTTCCCGGTGGCGATTTGTTCCTGCTGCACGGTGGTGCACACAGGACTTTTGGTGTACATTCTTTCCAGTATGTTAATGGTGTGATGCCCGTATAAGGGCCCCTCCAAACAGGATGATACTTTTGGTTTGAAAGAAAAAAAATAATAATAAAGAGATTCATTTCCCGCTTTTCATCAAACTTCAACAGACTCATTGAGAACCGGATTTATTGATTTATCAACCTTCAATAAGAAGTTTTACTTCATTATGTCCTATACCATACAGTGATGTCAGTATATGCCTCCACTAAGATGAAAAAAATATATAGGCAATGCTAATGACAACCATATTACTATCTTGTATATTTTGAACTTGACACAGTGCGTTCAAAGTTAGAAATGCTACAGACTGTCACAAAGTAATTTCCCAACATAGGACATTTTTAGCAGTTTATGACACACTCATATAAATAAGCGCTCTTAGAAACAGGACTGGTGAACAAATTATGATCACACTTGTATAAAACCAAAATATGCAATACTAACAGCACAAATCCACATTAAGAAACCAAATTACAGATAACTTCCAATATTATCATATTTCTTTATGTAAGTTGTAAGTGCAAGTGATGATGAATCTACCTATCCAAGTCCAACACAGAGGCCTCCCTATATATACAAGGAGCTACATATTAAGAATATGCCAAAATTGTTTAAATGCCTTAAAAAAATAAAATGAGGAGCTCGATTACCATGGTTCATCACCTGAGGAACCAAATGTTGCCAACAAAAATCTTCACAATTTTACCATTCACCATTTTTCTGCATGTCAAAGGGTCATTACGTGTTAGTAAACAGAAGACTAAGTGACAGCATTGGATGATGAACATCATAAGAAAGTATCTGGAAAAGCCTTAGGGTGGCATCAAATATTGTCGTTAGTGAAACACTAGAGAAAAGTGAAGATGCTTTTAAAAAAAGACCTATTATCATGCTTTGACGTTATTAGTAATTCTCACCAAAGGATGAGTCCAGCCCTTACTCTTATTCATTGGATGCTCTACTAGACGTTAAGTTGTAAGCCAGGAATATAACATATAGAACAACAAAAACTGCACAGCCTAATCCAGCTTCCTGTATAATTTAATAGATTACACTGAATACAAATCCATTTAATTGGAGTTTAAAAGCACTAAACTTCACTGGCTTAGGACCATTTCTTCATCCTTTGGTTCCTCTTCTTCCGGACATATGCCTACTAGCGTAGAAAAGGAAGGCTTAATTCTGCTTAGTTGAAGTTGATGGCTTACAGGTTAAACTTGAAGCAATAACAAGCTTATGGAAGATAAAGAAAAGGAAAGAGAGGCTTGTAGCTGTATGATTATTGCACGCTCTGAAGAAAGTCGTAAGTACTGCCTGGAGAATTGACATCTAGAAGCTGCATAGGCGGCAGTAATCATAAAAAACAAAATCGAGTCATCTCAAATACTACAATGTTTTGAGCTCAAACTGAGGAATTCACGTCTAGAAATAAATCCAACTGTCAGCTGTTTGTTCAAGCATAAATATGATAACTGTATAGAAAGATTATGTGGTAGATAATAATTCCTATGAGCTCTAATCAACCACTACTACCATTTCTAAGGGAATCGTTAAATATGTCTGATGTTTATGAGATGGTGAGGAAACTACAACCTTCTTACTATTTATATAGTACATTTCCGTTGTGTAATGCCCTTCAGACTAAACTAATGCAAATTATCAAACCTTGGCAGATTGTTTTTCTAAAGTTTTTGTGCATAACATGCTTATAAAGTCTATTTAAACAGTTGATGTTTTAGATCTTCTAGTAGTATTTTGCATACTTGGAAGTATAAAATAAAATTGAACAACATAATTAAGAGATCTAAGCGGACAGATGAGAACCTGCAGGAGGACTTAAGCAGCTGACAGCTTAATTTTCTTTACCATCATTGTTACTAAATTTGGAGAAGATAATTAGATACTGTAGAAAGAGTAGGGTTTCAAGATTACATTCTCTCATTGAAAGAATGACTTACATAGCCTTACACCCACATTTACATAAAACCCCTCTAATATTCCCTAATTATATTATCTTTTCAACACTCCTCCTCAAGATGAGCGAAAGATATCTATTAAGCCCATATTGTCACACCCTCTAGCTAGATCTACTGAGCTAAGCCATTTAGTCAAGCAGTCTGCAGCTTGCTCCTTAGTTGGAACATGGCCTAACTCCAGTAACCCACTGTTCAGCTTCTCCTTGATGAAGAATCTATCAATCTCGATGTGCTTAGTTCGGTCATGCTGAACTGGGTTGTTGGCGATGCTGATAGCTGACTTGTTATCGAACCACAAACTCATCTTGGTCCCTTTATCAAGGTTCAGTTCCACCAGCATGTTCTTCAACCACATCAACTCCGCAACCCCCAAGACCATGGCTCTGTACTCTGCTTCAGCTGTTGATCTCGTCACCACAGATTGCTTCTTGCTTTTCTAGGAGACTAAGTTGCCTCCTATAAATATGCAATACCCTGAGGTAGACCTCCGATCATCTCCGCAGCTAGCCCAATCTGAGTCACAGTAACCCTCAATATTCACATGGTCACTCCTCCTGAATCTTAGTCCCTTACCAGGGCCCCCCTTCAGATACCTCAGTATCTGATATACTGTATCCATATGACCCTTCCTCGGGTCATGCATGTAGCGGCTCACCATGCTTATTGCAAATGAGATGTCTGGACGTATGTGACTCAAGTAGATCAGCCTGCCCACCA